CCGCCATACAAACTTGAAATGCCGATTAAGTGACTTTGTAGCTGGTCTAAAATCTTCTTTAAGTTTGGATCGAATTCCAAAACTCTTGTAATCTAGTGAGCAAATCGAATGAGATAGAAGACACAACCAACACCGATGACTCAACCCTTGATAAAGCATCGACCACGGTGTTCTCTTTACCCTTTTTGTAGACAATATCATAGCTTGTAACCCATGAGTTTCACCGACCAAGTTAGTTGTTCAAGCAGTGTGAATTCTTTGGGCTAACAAGTGTTTCGGACTTTGGTGATCTATTCTAATCATAAAATGTTTATCGACAAGGTACCGGTGCTACTTCTTTACCGCAAACAAAATGGTAAAGAGATCTCTTTCGTAAACGGACATGGCTCGATGCTTGGGAGATAATAACTTACCGATATAAGCTATGGGATGGCCCTTTTGCATTAAGACAAGCACTAATGCCCTAACCGAAGCATCGGTATCAATTACAAACTCAGCGACCAAGTCCGATAAAGCTAAGACAGGAGTAGTGGTCATGGCTGTTTTGAGTGTATTTAAAGCTACTTCAGACATTCGCATTCCATACGAACGCATCTTTCTTTAACAAATTTGTCAATGGTTGAGCTATCCTTTCATAATTCCGCACAAATCTCCTATAATAGCTCGTGAGACCCAAAAAGCCTATGAGTTGTTTCAAGGTAGTAGGTCTAGGCTAGTTTTGCATTGTTGTAATTTTCTTATGGTCGGCTTGTACCCTTCCGAAGAAATAAGATATCCCAAATATTCCACCTTTGGAGTGCCAAAGATGCATTTAATTTCTTAGCATATAGAAAGTGTTCTCTCAATAATGAAAATGCAGTATGTAAATGATGCAAATAATCTTCAAAACTTTTGCTAAAGATAAGTATGTCATAAAAAAAAAAACCAAAATGAATTTTCTAAGGAAGGGACGAAAAATGTCATTCATCAATGACTAAAACATACTAGGAGCATTGGTTAAGCCAAAAGGCATCACCAAGTACTCATAGTGACCATTATGAGTTTTGAAAGCTATTTTGGAAATGCCATTAGAATGCATTTGAATTTGGTGATAACAAGCCCTTAAATCCAGCTTTAGAAAAGATGGAAGACCTCGCAATTCATCCAATAATTCCTCTATAATTGGGATAAGGAACCGATCCTTGACGAGTCATTTGATTCAGCTTCCTATAATCCACACACATACATCAAGTCACATCTTTCTTTTTCACCAAAACCACTAGGGATGACAAAAAGCTAGTATCGGATCTAACAATTCCACTAGCCAACATTTCACCGACTTGCTTCTCAATCTCATCCTTCAGTAAAGGAGGATACTTATAAGGTTTCATGCTTATAGGTTATGAACCTTCCTTTAAAATGATCCTATGATCATGAAGTCTCCTCGGAGGCGATCCTCGTGGCTTCGAAACACATCCTCAAACTCGTTAATACTGTTTGTAACTCGAAGACAAGTAGATGAGTCTATCACCGACATATGGTTCTCCATTTCCCCAACATCCAAGTGTAATAACTAATTCAATTGCAACTAATTCAATGGCTACCGTCAATAGAGGTTTCGTCAATTTCCTTCTCCCCGGACCTTTAGTAATGCCCTTACTTCTACCATACAAGTTCAAACATCTTTCCCTCTTTTACAAACTTCATCCATAATGCCTTGAAATTTCAAGTAATATTTCCCAAATCATATAGCCATGCTACCCCCAATATTATGTCATATAATCCAACTCGAATTATATAAGCTACTATAACAAACGTTGTTCCCCGCATCTTCCACTCAAAATACTTGCATATATATTCACACATTAGTTCTCCTCCATTAGCCACCTTAATAGCTATAAGTTGAATTTTAACCAAGTCACAACCATATTTCTTTACAAATTCCCAATCCATAAAATTATGAGTGCTCCTAGTATCAATTAGAACTCGTCATCCTCTTTTTGTTGCACTCCTCGACAACTTTCATGGTTTGATATTGCTCCCCACCAAAGACAGAACATAATAAAATCCGGTACAACTCTCCTCCAAATCCACCAACATTCTCCAAATACTCCTCACTATGGTCTTCCCTATTTGGATCCCCTATATTTTCACTCACATCATCCTCTACTTCCAATATAAACATTTGATTTCCCTTGGATTTGTGCCTTGGAAAATACTTCTCATCACGAGTAGTAATACCGCCCTCGCAATCTCCTTTCATCTAGCTCCTTGTTTCTCGGTAATCTCCTGGTTTTAAAGATAGAGTTTCCATTTTGGAATTGAGGTGGTAGGGGTAAGAGGCCTTTCCGGGTTGGGTTCGGATTTGAGTGATTTTGGAGATTCTATTGCGTTTGCTTGGTTTGTATAATTTAAAAATCTAGAAGTGTTAATGTGATTTAGTCTTTGAGTGTTTATGGACATATTGGGATTATATCTTTGAGGGAACAAGAAAACGGGTCTTTGGTTGAATTTGGTAGAGTAATGGTGGTTATTTGGGTTAGTTTCTTGTAGCTTGGCCAAAGCCACAGCCTTCTTTTAGAGTTTTGGGTTTCATGATCCTAACAGGGACCCGTAGTTCGGAGTTTAAGGCTACCAATAAAGCAGCTAACAATGTAATCCTCGGGTAATGTAAGTTTGTTCACTATTGAAATGAACTTCCTAAGGAGAGATCGCACATCCTCGGTTTGCCTTAAGGTCATCGGTTCTGCTATGGGATCTCCGAACTCCATAGCTCCAAAATGCACACTCATGGATTCAATATATTCTACCTAATTCAAGTATCACATTCATCCCATGCATTCTAACATATACCCGATGCCACTCCAAGGCTTCCCTTCTAAATGTATTGTCGCCAAATTCACCTTAGATTTCTCATGAGTTCTATCCACGAAAAGAACTTCTCACACCTAAACACCCAAAGCATTTAAAATCCTCCCCATTGAACTTTTGACATTCTAGTATTATACCGATACCCAACATTACCCCCTTCACGCTTATTTCCTATTGGATACCCATGTTACGGCCTCCTAAACCCTTCTCTATTAACATTCCTATTATCTTCCTCATTAATACCACTACCGTGATTATTGCACATTTCTTTCATCGTTGGATTTTTAAGTCCCCTCACCATTTCCTTTATCTCCCGTAATGTCATTATCAAGCTTCTTTTCACCAAATATCTAACTCGAGCAATTTCATTATCATGCCTAGCAATATCGAGTGATATTTTTCGGAGAACTCGATGAATACCTTCGATAGCCGTGTGAGATTATCCTCCAACCTCTTGAAATCGCACTTTCTTTAGCCATAATGCTACTCTAGTTGATTCCTTCACAAGTGCCAAAATCAATGCTCCGTTACCAATTGATGCGATCCAAATCCAACAAACAAGAATTATGAATGAATGCACCGATCAACCAAATCGGAGGAAGAAATGCAGAGTAAAACAAAAGTATTACACTAAAGATTTGTAAATGTTTTCATTAAGAACAATGAAATAAGTGAATAAGCCTTTGCAATGAACCCAAGAATTATAAGAAGAATTATGATGAAAACAGAGAGAAAATACAGAGAGATAACAGAGAGAATCATTTCCACATGTCGAATAATGATCCCCTCTCTTTCCTCTTTCTGTTTTATGTTTGTTAGCTAACAAACAATGCTAACAAATTTGTCGTTAGACATAGCTAATATTTTAATTGCCGACTACTAATATATTGACACGTCATTAACTAACACGTGCTAATTACATTCCTTTATTCCGTTTTTTCTTCTTCAACCTTAAGCCTCTCGCTCCCACTAAAGCTTTACACCCTCTCGCCTTACGACGCCTCTCGCTCCACTTCATTTCCATACCTTCTCCCTTCCCAATCATTCCTTCAAGTAGGCCTTGCATCAAGGAGGCCACCGTAGATTGAGGGACTTAAAAAAAAAAAAAAACACTCTAGCAGAGGAGAAAGAGATTCTCTGTTTTTATGGTTGTAAGAAATGTTGTCTTTTATTTGTGTGCTAGACATATTTTATTAAGCCTAAATTGAACTAAACTTAGACCCATTAAGCAATCTACAAGGGATGAAAGATGTTCAAGGCCCATATATAAAGAAAAGTGGTCAATAAAATCAACAAGCTCTAAGTGCAAAGCGACCAAGAGCCATCGGAGAAAGGTTGATGCTGATGCTAAGACCTTCAGATTAGCTGACTAGAGACTGAGCTGAGGAAGAGGCAACCTCCATTGTTAAATTCCAAAAGCCCAAGTGGCAGTTGGATCATCGTTTAATTTAGGTCAAACATGGAGAGTAAGTAAAGACCAATGGGAAGGGAACAAGCCTTTTACTGTGCAGTAGAAGGTGATTGTTAGAGAAGTTAGCGAAAGACCAAACCAAAAAGGTTACAGAAAATACGAAGAAGAATAGACACTAAGTACACAACACTCAGCAAGAAGCAAATTACTCGTTTTATGCATGATATTTCCTATGCTGGGAACCCAAGATTATCTTGAACCAAGTATCACCATACATTTCACGAAAGAGAACCAACACTTCGGAGGCTGGAATAATTACTTTACTACAAAATCAGTTACACAAGCTCCATAAGGTAAAAAACACCAGCACCAACAGACACTAATCAAACCATAAATCTTAAATTTGGAAACAGATGTGGAGAAGATTTACAACAAAATCGTTCAATGAAGCTATAAAGAAATTGTGCTATAGTGATGTTCCAAGCAAACTAAATTTTTGGATCGCTATTTATTAAGACATGGAGATCAGCACCATATTGACCATCTGCCCTAGTAATAGGAAGAGCATTTTTGCCTGTGGCTACCTTTTGCTGGAAAAATAGGCATCCCGTTACCATTGAATCACCAAGTGCTTTCAAAGTTCAAACTAGCATATTTCAGAGGCCGGAATAGAATGTACAGTGCATGTAATAGTGAAGTTGCATAAATAACAAAACTGCAGTACCCAATCCATTGTATATCATAAAGGGACTCCTTGTTTTGCAAAATCCCTGGCCGCTGATACACCAAAAGAAAACAAGTCAAGGAAATGTTCAAAGACCAAAAAAAGGGCATTCTATTGGAATTATGAATGAGATTTATGACACCATTGCTAACCAGAGTCCAATTAGATACGCAAAAAACACAGATTATACAAGTCACATGATCTGATTACACATTGTTGCCCAAAAACTTCCAAATTCATCAATTCCTCCGAGGCAAAAGTTATTACATGATGTTAAGCGTGTTCAACACTGACACATGCATGCATACTCCAATAGTCCAGTTCAGCAGGCACTTGATAATAGTGAGCATGACCCTCAAAGTAGCCATCTAATGGAGGTATCTTCGATTAAATTTTGGTTTATAAAAGATTGACAATCACTTCTTCCCCATCGTGGCCAATTGTCTGGTTCAAAAATTGACATGCTTAAGTCTCATGTTCTTATTTTAACCCAAACCTGTATCATTATCAGCTTTTCAAGGTTCCCAAATGACTATCCAGCCAATTCATTCACTTTAAAACCATTGAGCCTCCATTTTGATGTAGGAAAATAGAAGGTCTAACCCCAAGTCCACCCATATGCTCACTTACAACTCTTCCCATGTTTAGTATCATTCAATGCTACAGAAGTATAAAAAACATTTCAATCCAAAAAACTTCCGAAAGAAAAAACATTAAGTTGTCTTTGATGGGCCGATGGCAACCAAACAGCGCATGCATCATGCACTGCAAGGACTCTCGTCAAATGTAGCAGCAAATACATTTTAAATAAATATCATTTACCCAAGGCAAGAACCTAATTTTTGATGAGCTGAGATTCCAATGTTAACTTGTAACCCAAATAGCGCTAATTTTTAAAATCAGAAGAGCATTAAAAAATAACAAACAAGTTTAACAACTACACTAGAAACACCAGACCACAACAAAATAAATTGAACTTAAAGCATCATAAGCTCACCGTTGGAGGATGACTGAACTACAATAACATGCATGTCTGCATTGTTTGGAGGAAGCTGCAATCGAAGTGGATAAAGCTTTCCATTCAAAGGACTGCGAGTACACACAACAATATCCTCAAGACCCGTATCTTCCTTCAATTTTTGAGTCAACTCATCAACCCCATTTCCCTTAAAATTCAAAGAGTAACCCACCGTTGCATCATCATCAACCTCACCACTCTCATCAGCCACATGGTAGTATAATGTCCTACCCTTTGATTTCCGCGGCGAACTCACATTAGAATCACTCGACTGAACATTTCACAAACAAATTACTAGTAAACAAAGAGAGAACCAAAAAGGAAAAAAGAATAGCGGGATTGTAACTAAATTCAATAAAATCAACTAAAGATCAGAATTACCTCCTGTCTTGAATAGTTTCCTGATTTGATAGAGATAGAAGATGGAGAGCTGGACTCGAAATCCAAAGAATCAGAATGAGACACGATTTTGTTTAGATCATGATTAGGAGCAGGGCCAGTAGGAGACTGAAGTACTTGAATCTCCACAACATCAACATCCCAGAGGATCCATTCTTGTGTAGAAGTCCTATGAGGAATATCATGAGTAACCGAGTTTCTCCAAGGTGGCAACCCCCCATTGGCTCTCAAGAAGTTCCCATACCGGGTCTTGAGCTTCATCTGACCCCCTTCTCTAACGGGTTCCCACTCCACGGACGAGTCAAGGCGTCTGGGGAGAGTCTGAAGAACCTTGCGACCCGTCATGCCCAAAAGAAAAGGCTGATTAGAGGCAGTAAGGTATTTACCATAGCAGGACTTGAGGCGGATGATGAAGTCGGATCCAGGTACCGGTTCAACAGTCCATTTGGCGGTCTTGGAGGATCCGTTCCGGTCTTGGGTCACGGACTCCTCATCATCCTCTGCGAGGAGATACTTGTCATGGTGGCTGCGGAGACGGACGGCTTTTGCTCTGTGAAAGAAATCCATCCCTGACCGGAACTTGTTGGAGTTGGTGGGCGAGAACTTTTTTCAAAAAGAAGAAAAAAGACAAGTTATTAACTAACAGTCGTAGGTAAAAAGCTAAGGATATGAGAAAGTGGTCCTGTGGCTGTGCTAACCTCCTACTTTGTTTTGGTTTCGTTAGGTTTTTCTTCGATCTGTTGTTTCCGCAAGTGGAAACGGAAGGATGTTGAAATGACTTATAATGGTCAGCCTTGGGCTGCCACAGTCATTTGGACACGGCAATTACGTCGCTGTTTCGTGTCAGTCATGATTTCTGGTCATTCGTTCAATCTTCGGACAACATACGTATGGATTAACTAAAGCGTGTGGTTTGCATTGTGAGGGAGAGAGACTTAATTTTATTATCATCTTTTTTTCACTCTGAAATGGATTGCACTGTGATTTGCATTTTACTTTCGAGTAAATTATAAATTACAAAACAAATTGAATAGTCTCCTTATTTTAAAAAAAAATTAATTAACCATTAATTTAATATATTACTATATTAAAAAAAAATATATGTTTCTTTTTTCACCATCTTTTCATATTATTCACTTCACTTTTTTTTTTTTTTGAAAAAAAAGACTAATTAATTAGTTTTTAAAAGTAAAAAGACTATTTCATTAGTTTCGTAAAAATAAAAGGACTAATTTATAATTTACTCTTTTAACTTTACTAGATTGTAGTAGCAGTCCGGATTAGTCGACTTGTTTGACCGGGTGCTGTAATCTCTCCCCTGGATTGGCATTTCACCTGAAGCTTCCTTCTTTGTGCACAATCGAAATGTTTTGAAGTATTAAAAATACGATAAAAAGCTTCATTATATATATATAAACACCATTATATTAAATGTTAGATAAACCTTGGGCTGAAAACCTAGACCACTGCTGACTGATTTCAGACGCTTCGATCGTCTTGACATCCCAAGGAAAAAAATAAAAAAAAATCAGTCGTTCGTGTTTTTAATTCCCATTTCTACATCAGATGAAGAACTACACACAGAAGCGAAGAGGGTGCGTGCAAAGTGCAACGCCCTTCGACATCATTTTCCAATTCATGACAAAGACGTATACCTACTAGAGAGGCCACGCTCGCTAATTGCCACGATAGAAATTAAGGAGTGCAAACTTGACCAAAGCTACCATGCTTTTCTTAGCAATGCCAATTTTCTTTCACTGTTTCTTCTAACCAGTTTTTGTAGTGCGGAAGGGTTGATATTGCGTCTATATATGTTGAATCAACTAGAGCTTCCATCATGCATCTTGTCTTTCAATGGTTCAATTTAGCCTCTTTTGCCTATCTCGAATTTTTCTTTGGGGTAATTACAACAACCTCACGAGTATTGTAAAATTATAAGAAACATTAAAATTTTTTTGAAGATATAACCAAAAAAACCTCTCAAGTCTGTTTTGATAACTAATAATTCTAAAAAATACATATATATTTTTAAAAAAATATGAATAAAAAATACTGATATAACATATAGTTAATAATTTTTTTAATTATATGAAAAGTTAAAAGAAAAAAGAAAAAAAAACCTTCTGAAAAGGAAGTACTAATTTCTCGGCACGTGCATTACACTTGTATTATTTAACTAACTAATAGTACGTTCTCTAATTTATAATAGATTATCTATAAATGAATAAATTTGAATATATATTAAATAAACATGTTTTATTTTCAAATAAACTTAAATAAATTTTACTGATTATAATTTATATTATTTTTTAACCATATAATAAATTTTTAATTACATTTTAATAAAAAATTTAGGAACGCAATTGAATTATCTTTCAAAACTCAAAAAGTTTTCAATTATATGTGACATGATTTTAAATTATCGATACATACATGAGTAATAAATTTAAAAATTATCTTTTAATAAATCTTGCCTTGAAAAAAAAATCAATGTTCGTCGTAAAGAGTAAAAATAATGAATGACAATAAAAAAAATAAACTATAAGAAATTAACTAATGATCAATTTAATATTTTAATGTAATTTAATTATTTTTGGATTTTAATACTTTATATATATATGTTTTATTTCCTTGTTTTAAGTTTTTTTTTCAGCCTATTTTATACCAATCAATTTTTTTTCTTTACTGGTATTGGTCTTTTTCTTAATTATAGGTGGTTTGAATTTAAAGATTAATATTGATATATTTATTATAATATTATTATAAAGGTATAATAATCAATAAAGCCTTTTTATAAAGTTTATATATATATAATTATGGATTTTTAGCATCTCTTGAATACAATTTATATCTATAATTAAGACACAATCCAATAATAAATCAAAACTATATGAATCATGAATCGGCACCTCTAGTCTTCAAAAATTATTTATTTTCACTAAAATGACTTTTATAACACAAAAAAAGTATGATTGGTGAGTGATTTGCGTACTTGATTAACTCATTGAGATTTTAAAGGACACAAAAAGCTCTCCTTATCATGGACCAAAAATGTTATTTTGTTGCATTCTTTGCTGTTTTTTTTTTTTTTTTTTTGTGATGAAACAAAAGCTAAAGTTTCTACAGGTAGGAATCAAGAATGGAAGAAGAAGAGGGATAGTGGTTTCCTGAGTTTTTTTTTTAAGCTGTATTTTTATATTGCACATATTTTATCATCCTATTAAGTATTAACTTTATTAGATTAATTATACCTATTGTGTTAGCAGCTTCTATCGTATTAAACAATATTCTATGGAATTGTAATGTGTTATATACATGGTGTAAACTACTCTAATTTTGTAAATAATTTTAAAACTATTTTTCTATGATAAGGATTTAAAAATAATTTATGTGGGAAAAAACTCCACACAAAACTTTGCATTCCCGCGTGGAGTGCAACCTTAAAAATTGATAAAGATTTGTCTTTTTTTTTCTTTTTTTTTTATAGAAAATGTAGCGTAGCTATAAATTCTAAAGTAACTGAGAGCGAGCCTATCAGTAAGTTGCCTCATTAATGAGTAATCTCTCTGTTTTTGTTTTTGTTTGTTTGTTCGCTCTTAATTATTTCTCTACACTATTTCTTGGTGACTAACCGAGTACTATTCTTAAACTTTTCTGCAGAATTTAAAAACAAAGGGAAAGAAAAATAATGGAGTGATCAATAAACAAAATTAAAATAGGTTCAAATTAAAGCATAAATTCTTTCCAATGATCGTAATTAAATTCTAAATAAGATGATGAACAGGATTGCTAGCAAATTAAGCAAAATTAATTTACCAAATTTAAAAGAGAAGAAGAAAAACATACCTTATTTGGGGACAAAAGCAATCTTGGAGACATTGACTTTATCAAGGTCAATCTCCGAGTCCTCCCAGACGATACAGCCGATAGCGGAGACCCGGCTTCCGATCCTTTATAATCGTCCGAAATAGCTTCAAGAACATCACCGGACACTGTAGAAAAGCTCGACATAGAAGACAAGTAATCCACTAAGGAGTCGTTTTCAAGCACTTGTACTTCCTCGATATCCCAAAGAATCCACTTTCTCGTCGAACCAGTGTGAGGCTCATCGTGAGTAATCGAGTTTCTCCACGGCGGTGTCCCTCCGTTAGCTCGCAAGAACTTGCCACACCAGCTTTTAAGTTTAACCTGAAACCCATCTCTTATAGGCTCCCACTCCAGCTTCCAGTTGTCTGAAATATTTTCAGGCAGTCCTGTTTGGATTACTTTCTTCCCTGTCATGCCTAATAAAAAGGGCATGTCAGAGGCTGTGAGGTATCTGCCATAGCAGCTTTTGAGACGAATAACATCGCTCTTTTCATCGACTAACTCCACAAACCATCTGGCAGCTTTGCGTGATGAGCCACGTCTTGTTTGACGAACGGTTTCTTGGTCTTCGTCAGCGATCAAGTACTTATCAAGGTGACTCCGGAGTTTAATTGCCTTTGTTTTGGTGAAAAACTCCATCCAACAATGAATCGGAAACTCCTGTCCTAACCCTTTAGGCTGTACTGTTAACTAGCTAGAGACAAGCACGTACTGCTGCTTATTGCTGAAGACTTGATAAAAAATTAATAGCTCAAGAATTAATAAACAAGTAACATCAAAGGAAACTTATAAAGGTTATTTGTCTTAATTTGTGTTTGGAACTGCACAGCAGCTAGCTAGGCAGAGATGAAGGTGAAGAGAAAATCAAAGTATTTTCTTTGATTATTATATAATAGTTAATTCGATCAAAAAGGTTGATTGTGTTTGGTCTTTCTTGAAGGTATTAAACTAACTACAGTTAGCTAGCTAATTGCAGTACGTTTATTTCTTATTGTGCAAGGTTACGAGAGCAAAAAAAAAAAAAAGAGGGTTCGATTTCTCATTTTGGACTTTGACAGTAATCTATGAAATTTCCTAGATGCATAGATTATAGGGTCCCCATGTAGGGCGTGGACATCGCCATTGAACGAGAGGTCTCATGGTCCATCTTTCCATCGTCAAGTTGGATTAGTCAAACTCCCGAACGAATATTGGCAACAATATAAATACAGGGAAAGTTCTTTTTTCTGCATATATATATTCTATGCGATGCGGTAATTTTTTTAACAATAAATTATAAAAAAAAATTTGTTATATTGTAAAATTATACAAATCATATAAATTTTTTAAAACATTTGTTAGAGACTAGTATAAATTATATTCTAGGACCTCATGTATCGACTTAAGCTTTTTAGTGAGATGGTCCTTTAATATGGTATCGAGCTTGGTTAACCTTGAGGTCCTAAGAAAGCATTTGTTAGAGACTAGTATAAATTGTATTTTAGGACCTTATGTATCAACTTAAAATTTTGGGTGAGATGGTCCTTTAATATGGTATCAAAGCTTGGTTGACCTTGAGGTTCGAGTTCAAGTTTTATCATCTCTAATTTCTCAAGTATTAAGCACAAGGCAATATAGACCTATGCAAGTTTCATGTACCAAATGTTGGGCCTTTTACTTGAGGGGATGTGTTAGAAACTAGTATAAATTATATTCTAGGACCTTACGTATCGGATTAAGCGAAATCCTCTTATGTTTAAATAAATATTAAAAGAATTTTATTTATTTATTTATTTAGAGGAGAACAAAGGCTCTTCGAGGTCTAAATAAACTAATAAAATCTAAAAATTACAACTCTACAAATATCTTTTAATAATAGTTAATTAACTCGTGGAAACATTTTAAAAATAAAAATTTTCTAACAGGAGAATAGGAATGAGAAGTTAACTGATTTGCAATGCCATTAGTTTTTTTTATATATAAAAATACTCTCTTTATATCTAAAATATTTTTAAAAATATACTCAATAATTTTAGAAGCATTTTAAAAACAAAATAAGATTTTTTTGATACCTTCAAATTTTTTATATGATTATTGTAAGTTATTCACGAATTTTTGTAATTTAACAAAAACAAATAAATAAATAAATAAAAGCATTTTCAAGGATGCATAAAGAGTAGGTCGTCGTCAGCAGGGAGAAAGATCATACTTGAAGGATTGGAGTATTATTGTTCACGCGCATAAAGAGAGTCAATGCTCAAGTAGAACGAGATGTACGCGTGTGGGCTGCTAACAACTCGTGGGCATGGCCTCTACCCCCGAGGTCTTCTGCCTCTAGAAGCTCACAATTTTTAGAATAATGAAAACTGGTGTGCGTGTGTGAATGACTTTTGCTTTTTAAGGTTTATCATTTCGAATTGCCTTGTGCTAGTATTAATTTTATACAATAACGTATTAGAACCGATTTAAAGTTAATTTCCAAGTTAATTGTGTCAGCTCTCCCAAATTTATTGATCAGCTATTTTCTTTAGAAAAAACAAGCAAATTAACATTAATTAGAAAATTTTATGGAAGCTGTATTTTTTTTTTTTTGGGTGCAAAATGAGCAATAATTCTCCAGGACTGGAAGTTATTTGAGAAATAATTTATCAACTCAAAATTTTGGTTTGATCTCTTGCAAATTTAATTCATTTGAAAATAGATTTTTTTTTAAACTTCCATTTAAAACTAACAGTGGAAAGTTCATGAAACCCTCACGTGAACACCCCATAACTAATAAATTATTGTCAATTAATGTGTTTTCATCAAAATAGATAAATAATCCTTTCATTATAAATTTTTTTCATATTTAGCTATTTATATAGATTTAAAATGTATTATTTGTTATGTCATATCAGCCTTTTTCCCATACTTCTCTAAAATAATTTCTTTTTTTAAAGAATGATTAGTCATCAAATTTAATTTTCCATCACATGAAACCAATATCAAATAGGAATATTCTAGAAAAAAAATATTACTTCAAATTTTAACTACATATATATTTTAGGACATATAAATAAAAAAGTCAAACAATCTTTTTTTAAATGGAGGGAATAACTAATCAAAAAAATTAATCTCTATACCACTCTAAAATTGAGAAGTTGATATAATGCAAAAATTAAAACACCATTCCTTAATGAATTAATCGAAATACCCATATTAGTTTATTTTTAGTTAAATAATGAAACTCCGTTAATGATTGATGATTTAGATAGCACTACTTAGCTATCAGCGCCACGTTGCAGGAGGGGTACTGTCTTTTGCGGTGTAGATTTAAAATTTACGCTGGTTGTGTTAATAGCATATTATTACTGACATTTAGATTTTTTTTAATAATTATTTTCCCTTGTATAATCATAAAAAAATATCATGGATGGATTGTTTTTAATTTCTTGTAATATTACTATAAGCTCAAAAATATAAGTTATAAGATAGAACCTTTTAAATGTAAAAATTAGCAACTCAATTTTTCATTAAAATTAGACTTCAAGATGTATGTATATAAAATATTCAATTAAGTTGGGTTATAAAATATGCCGTTTAATTTGGTTGCTAACCATAGAGTTCATGTCCTGTACAGAAACATCAAACTTATCAATATTATAAAATTTTAATTAATGGGTGAAATCACGACTTTATCTTTTGCTCAGAAAAGTTTGGAGAAAAAAAAACAAAGAAGTAAAAAACATGATTACAATATGAATCATTTGACTAATTGAAAATAGCTCATTTAAATCCTTCTTCTTCTTCTTCTTCTTCTTCTTTAATTACATGTCTCTCTAGTAGTAGTTAATGACTATATGCCTAAAAAAACTATTAAATTCAAGAAAGCAAGTTCGGCTCATCTACTTGTACCACACTTATAGTAATTGTTAGTACTTAATTTTTTTACCTCAATTTTTTTTATTCTCGATAAAAAATATACAAAAAAAGAAAAGAAAGAAATCAATCAAAATAAATTGCAAAAAAATAGTTTTGGAGTTTAACTAAAAGAAATAGGAAGTGAGGTTGCAATTGAAAAATCCAAAACCTCAAACCCTTAATTAAAAGAAAGGAAGGATATAATTAGAATAAATTTAAAGAAGAGGTTGCAATTTAGAGGTGTCGTTGAAGTTTAAACAATCAAAATTACATTTAAATTGATGAATTAGGAAAAATCAATGACCAAAATTAATTTTTGTCAAAAAAATCTAATTTTTTCTTATAAATATCCATCCATTCCCATTTTTTAGGGGAGCCACTATTCATCTTCTTTCCTAAATTTGATAGCCACCATTCTCTCCCTTTTCCATGGCCGAATCCTCCACAAACCACCACCATACTAGTCATTACCCTCTCCTCCATCTTCATCCTTGGCCAAACCACCACCTCTAACTAGCTCCACCACTACAAAGTTTCTAGCTAAGAGTTCTACCTCCACTAAGCTTGTTCACATCCTCAATCTTTTTCCTTCCTCTCTCGTTTTAACAAACAAAAGAAGGGACAACCACCATTTTCTTTGGGTCTTTCTCCTCCTTTCTTCCCACACCAACCTCCCTCGACCCTAACCGAACCACACCGACCCTCCCTCCTCCTCCACTTTCGTCTTCTCCAGCTTAAGACAACCACACTAGCTACCTAACTCTCATTTCCTTCCTTTCTAGTAGAGGAAAAAACTAGCTCACCTCTTTAATTACTACTATCATAATCATCATCTTCTCCCTTTTTTTGAGTCAATTTTGATTCATATTCACTCTTGTCTTTTTCATTAACTTCAACTCCTTCTATATCTATGAAAATTTTATTTGGATTAGTCAACAACCACTCTTTATCATCTACCTAAATCACACATTATGTTGGACTAACAATATACTCAATTAAATTTTAAAATAACATAAATTACATAATTTCTAATATATTTATTAATAATTAATTAGATATATACTAAAAAAATAAAAAATCAAAGGTAATATAAAAAACTCATAAAAATTAAATGTCAAATATAGATTAGGAGAAAGACATATACCTAACTAAATCAATTGGAGATTGATTAGGGGTGAGAGAGAGAGAGGGACAGAGAGATAAGGTGAAGGAGACTCGTTTGAGGGAGGAGACTATAATCGTTTTGGGAGAGAAGATGGTTGGAGTGGTTGAAGAATGTTGGAGACCGAAGGAGAAGGATTTGTGAAGTGTTTTTGAAGGTGTTACAAGTAGTAGAGTTGCTTGAAACAGGCTATAACAAGAGGTGAAGAGGGAAAAAAGAAGAAGAAGAAACTAGGGAAGAAGAAGGGATTATACCAATTTAGATATTTAACTTTAGCGATGAATACAACTCTATCGGTATTATGTCGTTGAATTGACATTCATAAATTGGCTCAATCAACGATTACCATGTTCAACTACTAAGATATTGATTTGGCCACAAATCAATAATGGATATAAGTTTTTATCACCGATTTTAAATTTCAAAACGTTGTTTTTTTCACATATCAACGACTGAAATTTTCATTGCTAATATCGCATTTTTTAGCTACGGACATGTTTCATCATAGATTTAAGACAAATTAAAAGAATTAGTGATAGAATATTCCTTCACTAAACATTAGAAAAAAATACTCCAATATTAATGATAAAAATCACAA